TCCACGTTACAAAATTATTACTCATTTTAAAATAAATGTTACAAAATTATTACTTATTGGCTTATTTTATGTTGGATGTTAAAATTTTGGTCCTTTCAATGATTAATCCAAAATATACTTTTTATTTGATTTTATATCAGGAATCTATCAAACATAAATAACGATATATCAAAATATTTGTTAACAATAAGTAAAGAAAGTTGTAACTTATACATATCAAAGTTCTTAAAACCAATATTATAATATTATAAAGTTGTAACTTAACCACGTAGGACTACTTAATTTTTTCTTTATTGCAACAAATTTGCAAAAGTCAAGAAAATCAAACAATTTAAAACTTATCCACCCATTAAAACCAATGGTAAAGTAAGATCAAATTATTCAAGCCAAGGGTAAAGTTACATCAAATTATCAACCATAAGGACGAAAAATGTTATTAATGTTACATCATAAAGAAACTTGTATCATCAGGTTTACCTCATTTTCTAACTTTTTCCTCTAAATATTTTTCTTACCCATTCAACTTCCAAGTTTTTTTTTTTTTGGTCTTTAAAAATACGACTAATTTGTGGATCACATTCTTTGACCTTCTTAAGGGCTGAGCTCACTTTGTCTTTTGTGCATTGACTTGGGTAGTTAAATCACTAATCTGCTTCTCAAAAGAAACTAATTGATTCACTAATGATGCATGTTCTTGCTTAATAACCCCTGCTTCCATTGTAAGTTTATCCCTTCATGCCTCTATATGCACTAAATCACTATATTTTCCATGAAAATAAAAACAATAAGATTAGCTTATATAAGATATTAACATACCTTGAGGTCCTTTGAAGCCAACTGTATATTTTCACTTCCTTAATCTTGTCTTATAAATCTTTGAGCTTATATTCACGTTATTGGAATGGTCTTTAATTGACTTTTCAAGAGTTGTCATTTCGGTTAAACATTTTTTATGAAGTGCTTGCTTTTCATTAACAACAGATTTAGCTTCTAGAAGCACTTGTTATATTCTTATTACCGTTTCATTCTTGTAATTCAAAGTTATTGTTGATGTTAGATATCACGATAGATACCTAATTTTCAAACTTAGTGCCATATATCTACACTTGTTCAACTTACTTGATTACTTTCATAATTCCAAATATCAGTTGTCAAATTAGCATTCAACAGGTATGAGTTATCTAAAATTACGTGAAATTAACAATATAATCATATATTACTCAATCAGATGAGAAGAGATTAACTAACCATCATTAGCAAAGAGAAGACCGGGATCATTGATAGGAAATTAGGAATGACATGACTTGATTTCCCATAAACATACTTTCTTAGATTTTTTTATAAAAGTATCTCTAACTACAATTGAAATTAACAACATTTCGTAAATACTAAAAGACATTAGCAATTCAGAGTTGATTTTAATTTAGCAAATAAAGATGAAACTATTAGCTTAGATATGAATTTCATAGTAAACTATGGAATTGGCCAAATTGAGGAGTTGAAAATGAAATCGGTCTGATAAAAATGTGAATTGCCTAATATTTTACATTGAGAGGCTAATTGAGGCTAAGAATCGCGGTTTGTTAGAGCTACTGGGAGTATGGATACCTCCAATTCCAAATTTCTAATGGAAAAAACAAAATGAGTGTTGAAGATGAGAGTGAATTAAGAACAAATTGAGTGTATTTTACTTCCGATTCCAATTTCCCACTTTCCCAAAACATCACACAATGAACTCATTAATGAGGGAGATGAGCAAGAGAATAGATGTGTGACCTAAAAGCAGAGAGACGATACCAGAAGGCTGGGGAAGAAACCTCCGATTAACCGTAAATAGAGAGTTATTACGGCCAGGATTAAATCTTGAGAGAGTTTGAATGGCTGTGATGAAAGAGACGGTTTTTAGACTCACCGTCATCAATAATACTAATAATTCGCCGACCCAGCTGACCCCCAATCCCTCCTTCAAAACTCGTTGTAGGGCTTTGGAGAGAACGTTCCATCACACGACAATATGCTAATCGGAGGCGAGACTTCAAAAAGACAAAAAAAAAATATAAACATCTTCAAAGCAGGGACCAAAAAGATAATTAAAAAAAAAAAAAAAAAAAAAAAACCAATAACAACATGGAACATGGTGGAAGATAGATTTTTTTTTTGAGGAACACTGTTGTGGGTCGATGGCAACCTTCTCTAAAGAGAAGCCCTATGAATAGAGAAAGCAGTAGATAGAAGATGATAAGTCGTAAGGCAGTGGATGGAAGAATAAGGCGGTGGATAATGGGTATGGAGAAAATTAAAAAGGCGCAGATGAGGCGGTGGGGAAAGTTTTTGGTGGTAAAAGGCGATCGGAAGTGGATGCGGTGACCCAAATACCAAGGTCAGTCGCAAAGGGAAAGATAAAGGTGGGCAGATCTTGGGAAAAAAAATTGAACCAATAAGAATCTTTTACTGTTCCTAAAGGAACACAGTTATATATATATATATATATATATATATATATATATATATATATATATATATATATATATATATATATATATATATATATATATATATACGGTTAGCTTCATTTGAGATCACCTATATTTTGTGAGACCGTGAGACGCATTTTTTTATTTTTTTTTATTTTTTTTAGTTAATTCATGTTCCGAAAATAATATTTAAAAAAAGAATTTTTTGATTTTTACATTTATTTTGCATTTTAAAATTATTTTTAGAATATGTACAGTGTAATATTCTATTTAGAATATTTCATGTATTTTTCAAAAAAAATAGAATTTTTTTTATTTTATTTTTATTTTTTTTAGTTAATTCAAGTTCCGAAAATAATATTTAAAAAAAGAATTTTTATATTTTTCCATTTATTTTGCATTTTTAAATTATTTTTTAGAATATGTCAGTGTAATATTCTATTTAGAATATTTCACCTATTTTTCAAAAAAAAAAAAAAAACGGAATTTTTTTATTTTTTTATATTTTTTTTTAGTTAATTCAACTTCCGAAAATAATATTTAAAAAAAGAATTTTTAGATTTTTCCATTTATTTTGCATTTTAAAATTATTTTTAGATTTGGTCTCACGGTCTCACAAAATTAGAATGGTCTCAAATGAACCTGAACCTCTATATATATATATATATATATATATATATATATATATATATATATATATATATATATATATATATATAATTTTTATCTTGGATTTTAGCTATTATTCAACAATTAATAAATTTATATTAAATTTATTACATGAGATCCTGGCAATATATGACTATTTGCTAAAAGTAACTCTCTACTTAAACAAGGAAAATATATTTTTTTAGAGTAAATTAATGAAATTATACATGTGGTTTGGTAAAAATTACGTGTTTGGTCCCTAACGTTTTTTTTTTTTTTTTTTTTTTTGCATTCGGATCATCCTGTGGTATCATTTTGTTACGTTTTTCATCCTTACATACATGAAAAAGACTATATCATCCTCTTTAGAGTAAATTACTTAAATATTTTTTTTTCTAATTTATAATAGATTATTTATTAAGTTCAACGTATGGGTCCCACCCTCTCTATTCCACAATACCCTATCCTACCCCAAAGCCATCTTCTACGTTCGATCTCCATTAGCATTTTTTTTCTTCACTCACCATCTCTCAGCTCCAGTAACGAAGTCCAACGAACACCAGAATTGCACACTTCAGTGAGCACCGTAAATCTAATGACACCATTGAAATGATTCCTTTTCCCTTTCTTTTTTGTTTTCCATTCTTTCCTTTCTATTTCCCTTTGTCTTCCTTCCTCCCCTGTAACCAGAAACAAAAATCAAAACTGAACTTAGTTTGAAATGAAAATAACTAAAGTCAAAAAAAAAAAAAAACTAAAGCTAAAAGTTGAACTGAAGTTGTGATCACCGTTGTCATCCTCCACTGCTTCCACCATGTCTGCCATCGAATACCTAACCATAAATCGATACCTGAAATCAAAACCGAGTCTAAAAAACTTACCCTGAAAAAAAAAACCACTGTAACCGGAAATCAACATCTCTCTTCTCTGTCTCTTCATGTTCTCCTAGTGCTGCTTATCCACCACGCCTTTCTCGAAATCCCAAGCCCCACCATCTACTTTATCAGCTTCGATGAACACAGAACTCTGACGTACTTTCTTTCACTCGTTCCTCCAGTAGATTGCCGACGAGCACCACCACCTTCCCTACAAAAAGAACCGATAATCATCTCTCTTCTCTGTCTCTTCATGTTCTCCTAGTGCTGCTTATCCACCACGCCTTTCTCGAAATCCCAAGCCCCACCATCTCCTTTATCAGCTTCGATGAACACAGAACTCTGACGTACTTTCTTTCACTCGTTCCTCCAGTAGATTGTCGACGAGCACCACCACATTCCCTACAAAAAGAACCGATAATCATCACCATCCACCGGAAACCTAGAAACCTGAACTCTAATCCATCAAATCTATAAAAAATTAAACCTTATGCAATCCATAAAAATCAACTTAATCCAAACCTGATGCAAACTTCCAGACTAATCAAACCCATAAAAATCCTCTATTTTACTTGAAATCAAATCCACCAAACCGGATTGGCACCGTCAATTCTAAATCGAACCATCGACTATGTCATCAAACCAGTGATTGAACACTGGGATGGTGACGTTGATTTCAAGGAGGCGATCCGGTGATTGAACAGAGTGCAGATCTGGCAATGAATCAACGATGGCATTCATCATCTTTCTTGTAGTACACAAGCATCAAAATACTGCTCCAGTGATATCTCGTACTTCCAACCGTAATCTAGTAGTTATGGTGACAGTCTGGTGGATGTCGGTTGTACTCTTCAAGAGTCGTCTCATAGAGTGAATCAAGTGAGACGGGATATAGTGAAAGAGAGGTTTAGAAGAGCTGAAAAGGTAAGTGAGGATAGGGCAAGGCCTATTTTTTATTTTCTAGAGTTTATTAAATTATTAATTAATAAATAATAAATAAAAATAAATAAAGAGGGCAATATAGTCTTTTCATGTATGCAAGGGACGAAAAACGTAACAAAATGATAGCATAAGACGATCCGAGTGCAAAAAAAACGTTAGGGACTAATTGCGTAATTTTTACCAAACCACAAAGACGATTTCAATAATTTACTCTATTTTTTACTATGAAGACAATAAAAATATCTAAAATACATACTGATTTTACATTTAAATTCATATAAATCTACAAGTAAACTATATAATAAAAGTGATCAAAATCAAAACAATACATTTTTCACTTAGGATGGAACAAAAATATAAAGGCACACTTTTCCCATATAAAAACGTGCCAATCTTTTTTAGATTATACTCAGCTAAATTTTTTGGCACAATATTTAACTTAAAGTTATTTAAATATTTTGATGGATTAATAGATTTTAAATGGTAAATGTCAATTAAACGTTGAACTGTAATTAAAAAAAATGGTAAAAGAAAAGCGATGAAATAGGGAGGAAAAAAGGGTAAACACATTTTAAGGAGGAGCCTTTAAAGGTTGAACCTTGTTCTTAGATATTTGATACAAAGACAGACGACAGAGGACAGACGTGTCAATTCTTTCTCTGTGGCATAGAAATCGCGCCCAACAAACAACAATTGAAATAATTCTTTTACCATCTATCAAACTGATTTCAACCCTCCGTCTTCCGCATTTCCTATGTTATGTAAATCAACAACACACAAATTCATACACTTTCTCCATTACTTTTCGTTTTCGTTTTCCATCTGCCACAACTTCATCTTCGTCGCTTTCTTTTTCTTTTGATTTTATAACAACAGATATTTCGTAGGGTTTTGTATTTTCCAATGTATTGAAATAGGAAACACTGCTTGAGAGGTACATTTGTTTTCCTTACGGTTTTGATAATTGATATTCTTCTACGGTGAATTCGTTTTCATTGTCTTCGTTTTTTCCTCCATTAATTGCGATGGATCTCGATTCGATTTGTTTTATTTTCTTGTTGAATCGTATCCTTGATGATACAAATTTTGGTTTTCATCAGGTAATATTGATTATATCGCACGACAATGTTTTCCATAAATTGAACGAGTCTTTTATCTCAATTTAAGGTTAGGTTCCTATCAAATAAGTTTGATTTTGCTTAGAAAATGGTCAATTTTATGTTTGGTTGGTGAATTGAGGTGGCGAGTGTTATTTTTTGGGGTGTAGGATTAGTGAGAAGATGACCGATGTTCAACAGCAATTTCCACAGAAGCCTGAGACCGCTGCTGCTACCACTACCGATGCTTGTTTGGATTTCGAAAGAAGATTTGAGGAATTAATGAGGGGGCAATTGGATGATTGTATGTCATTTGCATCATGCAGCTCCCCGCGTGGTGATGATGATGACGAGACTGAGATTGGTGGTGATCAGCTCATGAGAAGGAGGAGGAGGTCGGATCTTGAAGGTGATGATCTGGCAGAATCATCAGCTGCCAGAAGACGTCACTCGCGGATTTTAAGCAGATGGGCTGCCAGGCAAGCACATGAAATGATTGCCACAACAGAGAGGAGAAACCGTGAGTCTGAGTTAATGGCACTTGCTGGTTTGCATACTGTTTCCATGTTGGATTCCTCATTCTTAAGGGAGTCTCAGTCTCAGTCTTCTTCTCCTACCTCCAGAGGGAATGCTGAGAGACCGAGAACTGAGAGACCGAGAACACGTGCATCTTCCATCTTACAAATGTGGAGAGAGTTGGAAGATGAACATTTGTTGAACCGTGCACGTGAAAGGGTAAGAGTGAGACTCAGACATCAGAGGAGTGTTGACTCGAACACAAATGTTTCAAGCACCACAGAAGGTAGAGGGAGCGAACATCAAGGTAGTGAGAACGAGTATGGAAGTTGGTCACACGATCAAATGGAAGCACAGAATGAGAGTCAAGACAACGAGGTGTCTAGCCGGGAACAAACTCCTGATATAGGTGAGGTGGAAAGGGAAAGGGTGAGGCATATTGTTCAAGGGTGGAGGGAGAGTGGTGTGAGTGTAACAGATAGAGGTAGTAGTAGTAGTCCAAGAGCAGAATGGCTTGGGGAAACCGAGCGTGAAAGAGTGAGGATTGTGAGGGAGTGGGTACAAATGACTAGTCAGCAGAGGGGATCTCGTAGGGAGGAGCAAGGTGGTGAAGGGCAGCCGGAGCATATACGAAGGGATATGCTGAGGCTGCATGGTAGACAAGCTCTACTTGATTTACTTATGAGGGTTGAAAGAGAACGCCAGAGGGAACTTGAGGGTTTGATTGAGTATCGTGCGGTTTCTGATTTTGCACATCGGAACCGCATTCAGGTCAGTTCCTTCTCAATCTCATTCAAAAGTCAAAATCCCGTATATAACTTTATAACTAGATTAGAATGATCATTGAGAGTATTGTGTTTATTTTTTTGTAGTCGTTACTAAGAGGCAGATTTTTACGAAACGAAAGACCTATAGAGGATGAGAGACCATCTTCAGTTGCAGCAAGTGAGATGGTTCAGTTGAGACAACGAAACACAGTCTCTGGTTTGAGGTATATATTATATTTATATAAGATGAGATGTTACTAGTGATTGGCAGTTGCTGATGTGGCGCCCTGTTGGAGCAGGGAAGGGTTTAGGTCCAGATCAGAGAACAGCTCTTCACAGGAGATCACGGAACATGAAGACCAAGAACAATCAGAAATATGGGTGGAGGAAAGCGAGATTCATCAGGTGACGGTGAGTGATCGAACAAGAAGTTTGGAGAGCATTGCAGCTGTTGAGATCACAAATCAAGAAGTGAATATTGATGAAGGAGATGAGTGGCGAGACCAGGTTGTTGAAGATGAGAGAGGAGAGTGGCAGGAGGAGGTAAGCTATAACGATTGGCCTCAGGAGGCGACTTTAGTTATTACTGATGGAGATGGTGCACATGAGGTTGAGAATTGGTCAGAAGGACCTTCTGATCCACCAAGAATGCCACATTCTGGTAGTGTTAGGAGACCCAATAGGTTTCACCCACCAGAAGATGATAACGTGTACAGCATGGAACTCAGGGAACTTTTAAGCAGGTAATAATTACTACTAAACACTAAACAGGGTTGTGTTGTTTTTATCATTGGATTAACTGATTTTTTGTTGTTCATTGTAGGAGAAGTGTTTCTAATCTTCTTCGTAGTGGTTTTCGTGAGAGTTTGGACCAGTTGATACAATCGTATGTGAACAGACAAGGTCAAGGTCAAGGTCAAGGTCGTGCACCCATCGATTGGGATCTTCACCGGAATATACCGACCCCGACTTCACCAGAGGGTGAGCAGGAACAACAACAACATAGGGACAGGGATGAACAGGTTTTGGCATCTCCTCCTCCTGTCCCCCCACCACAACCAATCTGGCATCATTTGCCTTATTCCAGTTGGTCACGTCACAGCATGCATCAACATCGCTCTGAACTCGTAAGTTAATCTGTTGTCATATTAATATATTATGTATTACGTTGATATAGAACCATTAATTTGTGGAATTAAGCTTGATGTTAATGGAACAGGAGTGGGAGATGATTAATGATTTGAGGGCAGATATGGCGAGGCTACAACAGGGGATGACCCACATGCAGAGGATGCTCGAGGCTTGCATGGACATGCAACTTGAGCTTCAACGCTCTGTCAGACAGGAAGTTTCGGCTGCTTTGAATCGATCGGAGGGTGGTGCTCAAGGTACATGTCAGCACCAGAGGTTAATAAACATTGTAAAGTTAACAGCCGATTAATAATATCGTGGAGTTTTATGATAATTGTTGCAGGTATTGATACGGAAACATCAGAAGAAGATGGATCAAAATGGGGTCAAGTCAGAAAAGGAACCTGTTGTGTTTGTTGTGATAGCCAGATTGATTCTTTGTTGTACAGGTATATATCTATATATCTAGTAATTACTTTTACATGTTAAAAACATATTATATAATTGTAATTATTTTTGTATTGTTGCAGATGTGGGCACATGTGTACTTGTTCAAAGTGTGCAAATGAGTTGATTCGTGGAGGGGGGAAATGTCCATTGTGCAGGGCACCCATTGTTGAGGTCATCCGAGCTTACTCCATACTGTAGTAGTGTAAACAGAGACAACAAACTCAAACTGACCCAAACAAATTCTTTGTGTTCACTCATCTTTAGAGATTAGATAACTGAGAGTGCTTCATTTTTGCCTGACTACTGTTGTTGTATTGAATGATTATTGCGCACTCGTTGTATAATTGGAATAACATGTATGTGGCTCCTTTTCATTCATTCATTGCTGTGTGCATAATAAAATTAAAAGTTACATAGTAAAACCTTCTTTTTTTTCCTTACAATTTCAACCAAACAGTAGGAATATGGAATGGAGTTTGTGTTTTTTTACATGGGCGTAATAAACTAGGATTAAAGAGGAACCCAATACTTAGCATTTTTCAACGGACCCACCCATCTCCTTGGACACGGTTTTATTCTTAACAACATATATTAATAATAAAATAAAATATGTATATTAATAAATACACATAATAAGAAACTTACAAATCTAGCATAATACTTTAATGACTTTTTAAAAAATAGCCAGAAATCCAGTATTCAAAAAATAGTCATTGAAATCGTAGGTGGCTAAGCTCATCTGCAATTTCGTACATTCTAACTATGATTTCCTCTTTCTTAGGTTGTGATTTGGCCCCAATTTCGGCACATGGCCCAAATAATAAGGTGTATGTATAAGATTTTTTTTTGTTTTATATTTTTTCTTGAAATCACAAATGATTAAGGGCATTTGCGATTTCCTCTCATCTAACTATGATTTCCTCATGAAATTTGAGTTTTTTTCTTTTTTTTGGTCCCAATGGTAAGAATGACTAAAAAATGATTTTTTTTTTTTCATGTCCCAATAATAATAAAAAATGATTCTAAAAGTCACATATGGTAAAAAAATATATATATAAAAAAAATTAGAAGATTTTTGCCGAAAAGAAACACAGGTAGTACTTGATGTCTGCGACTTGTACATTCACAGATGGCTTTCTACCTGAGATTTCCTCTACCTAACTGCGGTTTCCTCTCACAATAATCTCAAAGTGTGAAAATAAGAGGTGTTTCCAAAATTTAAGGTTTATATATTTCTTGAACACGAGCCGAAAGTGGGGTCAAATCCCAGCCCAAGAATAGGAAATCACAACTAAAGACTACGAAATCACAGTTGTGGCTAATCACATGTAATTTCAATGGTTCTTTTTGGAAACCCCAATATATATATATATATATATATATATATATATATATATATATATATATATATATATATATATATATATATATATATATATATATATATATATATATATACTAGCAGCGTACCCGCGCAAAGCGGCGGGGTGTGTAAATTTTTTCGGTGATATGTTTCATCTACAAAAATGTTATGTTACAAAGAAAGTACATGTCGAAGACAAAATAATCAAACTATGGTGTTATTTGGGAGATGAAGTCATTTTTTATTCCTAGACGGTGGGTTTTATAGCAGACGAGGGAACAAAGAGGTATCTGCGATTGGAGGGATATTTAAATTAACATGCTAAATTTAAGGATATCGAAAAGGGTTCAAAATTTGAATGAATCCGGGATTTGAGGGAACCATATCAAATTGCTGAGAAATATAAGGAGATTTGATGATAAATATTTGAATTCAAAATGTGTGTAAAATTTAATATTATTTTATTAATGGCTAGTTGTACTATCAGCTTCATCATTTGGACGTCTTAAAAAAATATTATTATTATAATCAATCTATTTTTAGAAATAGTTAGATTTCTTTTATAAGATAGTAAAGATATATATATATATATATATATATATATATATATATATATATATATATATATATATATATATATATATATACCCTTTCGTAATAGTGGAAACCCCAAAAATAGGTTTCTCCACTCCACGTTGAAATTGTTTGTGTTGGTCTTGATTACAAGGCTTGCTCGACTTTGATCCCTATTGTTTCACTTTCACACAAAGAAGAAAGTTTTGTCCAACAAAGCTAGGGTTGGTTTGGAATTGTTGTTCATAACAATAATCTTATCTTATCTTGTGTTGTGTTGAAGAATATGGAAGCAAATTTGAGTAGAATGATTACCTTGAATGGTTCTAACTACCATACATGGAAATGTAGAATAGAAGATCTCCTCTATATTAATCATTTACATTTACCAGTGTTTGCCACGGAGAAACCAGAAGATATGTCTGAACAACAATGGACTCTGTTTGTTACATTGCAAAGTTTGTGGGTGTATATATATAAGGCAATGGGTGGATGATAATGTTTTGAATCACATCAGTGAAGAAAAACATGCACAAACACTTTGGAACAAACTTCAACAGTTGTATGCTCCAAGAAAAACAGCAGGAAATGACAACAAGACGTTTCTCATCAAGCAGTTGATGACCTTGAGGTATCAGGAAGCCACTCCACTGACAACTCACCTTGAAATATTCCAAGGTATAATTAATCAGCTAGCTGGGAAGGCTATACAGGTTGATGATGAGATTCAGGGGTTATGTTTACTTGCTACGTTGCCAGCCAGACTCATGGCGCATTACGAAGTATTGTAGACAGCTGAAATTTAATGTTTAAGAGAATATATATATATATATATATATATATATATATATATATATATATATATATATATATATATATATAAAAGTGTAACCGTAAGGTACTAACTTAGTTTCATGTTTTCCTTCTTCTTGCTACAATTCCTGAAACCTCAAATATTGGGGTCTAGTTCCACACACCTGTATTTTAGATTATTGCAATGAATTTGCTGTGCGTGTGAAAAAGGAAGGAGAATGGATAAGTTAGGTACCTTCATGTCTACCACCTCCTCTGGTTCCGGCCCCACCACAACCAATTTAGCATCATATGCCGTATTCTAGTTGCTTTTGTGTAAGTTATCATATCTTTACTTGTAAAACAAACCATCTTATTTGTATGTTAAGCATGATGTGCTGTTGGCAACTTTCTGATTTTAGCTTAATTAGAAATCTGATTTGTTCAATTTCAGTCAGGTATTGAATGATTGTTACACATTGTATAATTGGAATAACGTGTGGCTCATTTTCATTCCTTCATTGCTGCGTGCGTAATAAAGTTACATGGAAAAATCTTCTTTTCGCCTTAAATTTTCAACCAAATCGGGATGGAATTAGAATTGGTTGTTACTTGTTAAATATACTAATGTGAGAAAAAGGAGCCAAAATTTTTAAACTAGTCTTATTGCTTTCGAATAGCAGAAAGGTAATAAAGTTGTGGACTGGAGCCAAAACTTTTATCTTTTCACATGTGGATTGCTGCTTGTGTGATTCTTACAGTTGACATGAATACAATGTAGAATGAAGAGATTATAAGTAATGATCTGAGAAATTTTTTCTTCATCTGTTCAGTAAATAGAGCATGTACAAGTTACACAATTCGTGTTTTTACAAAACATTTACTAAACTAGGATACATACATGGCCCTTGAGAAGAAAAAAAAACATTACCATCTAACTCGTATTTTCTTCTATCTCCTATTTTTTGTATTCATTTACCCCACGCTATTTCTTCAACAACTTAACCAACATACAATGAATAAGAAAGATAAATTTACCTGGGTAATGGTAATCAGGAGGCAATGATAAACTGATAATGGTATACGAATTATCCCTGAATTTATGAAAACCAGCTCCTTCCAGTTCCAGGCCTGTCAGCCTTTAGCTTTATCACAAGCTCTTCTCTTTGAGCTTCTACTTCTGCATATTTCAGGCTCATATGGAGGTAACGTTCTTGAAGCTCTTTCAATTCGGTCTCCAGTAAAGATACATCTCTATCATGGTCTTTATTAATTCCTTCCACATCCTGTTGAATAATAGTAATTAATAAACAAGGTTAGAAGCCAACACTTATAACCTTAGGTCTATAAAATTCACCATAAAGAAAGAATCACATATGGACCTCTGATGGCTTCATGCTATCTGATACAAAAGAAACAGGACTGTTGGTAGTCGAGGACTCAATGTGTTCCAGTTTCTCTTCAAGAACTTGAGCGTTCTTCATGCATTCATCTTTTTCTTCTTGAAGACTGTTTATCTTCCATTGTAGTTGACTATTTGACCGTTTCAAACGCCCGAGCTCATTTTTCAACTCGGCATCCTGTGCAGATAACGCTTCTCTTGCAGTTAAATCACCCTGAAGCCGCATAATTTGTTCCTCTAATGCAGCTTTACTACGCTTATGATCTTCCAATTCGCTAACCGCTTTCTGCATGCTACATGTTCTCTTCAACAATAAACTTTTTGCTTCCTTCAGTTCTTCATAATCCCCTGTTATCATTTGTAACGAAGCTTCAAGTCTTTCATTCTCATACTTCACATCATTCAGTTCGTTCTTCAGAGCCACCACTTCCTCCTGCAAAACTGGAATCTTCACCAATTGATCTTTAAGACTCGAGATCTCTTCTGTTAATTGTACTCTTTCGTATTCGGAACGTTTAAGGTTGCCATCCAGCTCAGCAACTGTGATTCTCGCCTTATCTTCATCAAATCTAGTATTCTCCAGCAGCTCCATCATTTTTTCAAGATTTGCTTCTAGAACTCCATGGTTCTGTCTGGAAGCAGATAGCTCAACAGTCAGCTCCTGAATCCTTGCTTCATATTCAACTTGGACAGTATGAAGCTTCCTCTCAGATGCTCTAAATTTGTCTTCCAGATTATCGTTATTTGCACGTAAGACATGCATTTCAAGCACAGCTTCTGAAGCCATTCTATCCTTTTCATCTTGAGTTGAATATATTTGTGTGCTGAGATGTGCTGTCTCTTGTTGAAGGTTATCAATTTCAACCATCTTCTCCAAGTACATTTGATTGAACAAGTTAAGCTTCTCAGTCTGTTCTTCGTTCACCAGATGTAAAGCCTCAACTTCTGAATCAAACATTTTCTCTTTTGCAGCAATCTCATTTATCATCAAGGAAAACTTACCTTCTAAATCTTGTAAGTTTTTTGATAATTTGGAGAAATTATGTTGTGATTCCTTCAGTTCTGCTTCTAGGGCCATGCAGCGATTGTATAAATCGAGTCTTTGTTGCTTTAGTTCTCGATTTGACTTTTGAAGTGCACTGGATTCTTCAATCAAATTTTCAGCAGTAGCTTGTAGCTTCGGGTTAGCTTTTTTCAGATACTCACATTCCTCTTGAGCTTCCAACCATCTTTTCTGCATGTTTTTCAGTTTCTGTCTCATATC